CCTGCGGGCTCAGTGCCATGGTGGGCCTGCGGGCTCGGTGCCATGGTGGGCCTGGGGGCGCGGTGCCACAGGAGCCCGGAGGCGCTTACCAGGCGAGAACAGGACAATGGCCAGCAGCAGCACGTACTCGGCCTCGTGAAGTCTCAGCTTCCTCAGGCTGATGTGGAACTTGAGCAGCGGCTCCAGGTAGATTTGCTGGAACCCAGCTGGGGACAGAGAGGGGGTGACAGGGATCCCCACTCAGCCGCCTGTGTGCCAGGGCCCAGGGAAGTCAAGGTTGCGGAGCCAGGGCCTGTGCAGAGCTGGGGGCGCCCGCAGGCCTAGGAGAGGCAGACGTGTTCCTCATGCCCTGCAGGAAGGGCTGGGGCAGAGAGACGCAGGCATCTCTCCGCTCACCAAGGGGCGTAGAACACAAATCTCCTGCCTGGGAGATTTGCCCTGGTCGATGGTCCTTGTCGGCATCGGCATTCGGGGCAGGAGGAGGCAGCCGGGCCGCCAGCTCCCTTCCAGGGCTCCCCCAATCCAAGCCCTGGGGAGCCCCCATGGGGGATGCTGCGGACCACCAGCTGGGAAGTGGAGTCAGAACCCCGGGGAGTCAGGCCAGCCCAGCCCTGGCCCCGCAGGGACTCACCCAGGGCACCATCTTGGATGGTGTAGCAGTGCTGGCCGCACTCCCAGGCGTTGGTCTCCTCGTTGAAGACCGTGTTGAACTGGATCTGGCAGATCTCCAAAGTGGCGCCTTTGAGAAGCGAGATCTGGTCGTCGATGGGCAAACTCCTTCCCGGAGAGAGCGTGGGAGTGAGGCCAGGCCGGGAGCAGCCGCCCAAAGCAGCACAGAGCCATGGACAGTGTACAAAATGGGGACCCTACCATCTGCAGTAGGGGCTGGGCTGAGCAGGGTTTTGGGGGGGGCAGGAGCAGGGGGAGCAGGGAATGGGGGCCCCGGGCATGTGGAAATGCAGGGCTGAAGGGGAGCAGGTGGGAGGGAATCCAGGGACGAGGTCTGGGGGAATGAGGTGTGAGAGTGGGAGGCGGTGAGTGGGGGACCCAAGAATGGGTCAGGGCAGGGCTGAGTGGGGTGTGGGGAAATGGGGGAACATGGGCATGGGTCAGTGATGAAGCAGGGCTGAGGGAGTTGCAGGGGGTGGGGGAGCAGAGTCTGGGGAGACCCAGGGTTGTGGCAGGCAAGGGGCTGAGGGGAGTGCCCAGGGGAGTAGGAATATGACAGAGGACAGCTGAAAAGGGGCGCAGAGGGAGAGGGGGAGAGGGATATGGGGGGGGAAAAGGGATGGAGTGGGGCTGAGGCAGGTGCAGGGGGGGTGGGGGGGTGGC